TTAAAGCTTACTAGCTTAAAATTGCTTTGCTGCCTTTTTAAAGCTATATTGGTAATGATTATGATATAGTTTCTCTAAGGCTAAATGAAAGGGATGCCTTGATCGAATAAATAAATGCTATTCTCTGATTGCGTATATACCAGAAATAGTAAAGTCCACAATTTCTGAAACTCAGGTACAAATGTATTGGATAACAGAACACCCCTTACAAGTATATTCAAATTAAATATCGTCAATATCTCTTTTTTGTAATTTTTGTTTAACAAATTCATCTTTAATCTATATTAATTGAAAATCGAAGCAAAAATGCTGTTCAAGCATTATTTTATATATTTGATATTTATTCCTCTAAAATATATATATTTATTTTAAATGCATTCTCAAATAAATAATAAAATATATTTATTATTATTTTGAATTCTGCTCTGAAGTAATTAATAAAATATATTTTGTTATTTTATATTTTTTTCAAGAATTTTTTCATTAAAGAATTCAATTAATACATATTTTATTATCTGACATTTACTGTATAGCTAAATGTAAATTTTAGTTTCAGTTCGTAGAATTCCATTTTACTTTACATAATCCCACGGCGATTAGGCAATATTTGCTCTGTCTGTGAAGTTGCGTACCATGAGAATTTAACGAATAATAAACGAATATGATTTGTATTTGCTAAGCATTCACACGGCTCACATTGTTGGCAAACAACACAAGTTTGGGTAAACAGTTCTTTACAATTCTGTTTGCCCAATCTAATGGCCACCATTCACTTCAAAGCCGTCTATAGAATCTAATGTTCGTACTCGCTTTATGCCCGTATGTGCGCTTGTGTGCGAGTGTGTGTACACACACCTTTCTACTGGTTACACCCTGGCCATAATTGGCTGCCAAACTGGGGCCACCAAAGTAACCGAAACGTGCTGCCAAGTTTTCATAAAGTTTTATCATCTACCCGCTACCTACTGTCTCTGACCTGTACAGGGGGACCTACTTTATATGCGTCTTGGACGACTGTTATACCCTTGGAGAGAATGTTGTCACCTTATGTTTAACAGTTTGCTGAAGACCACTCGCAGCTTGTAAAATCTTCAGCTGGATGAGAGTTAGTTAGTCCATGTTTGTATTTTGATATCTCTACGATTTGCCTTCAATCGATTAGTATAGATTTTTAAAAGCATACTAAGGGGATATAAGAGCTGGCTATATTATATATAAATACAGACAAATACAGAAGGGTATAGCCTAGTCTGATACTTAACAACAGCACGCTTACTTATTTACTTTCAATTTGTAAATAAATTGGAGAAACAAAAAACGATGCCTCGTTACGTATACGCCGCAGTGCCTGGCATTGCGTGCCTCTTGTCTTTTGGTCAAGTTGTTGTGCGTGCTATCATTATTATGAATGTTATTAAGTATTACTGTAATGGCAAGTTTTTCTGCTATTATTATTATTATTATTATTATTGTTCGGCTCATATTTCAATAACTTTTCCCTTAGTCTTTCGCCCCCTTTAGAATTACGTTTCTGTGGCAGCAACGACCTTGCCACAGGCGCTCATCCCCGGCCTTAGAGTCTTAGACGACCGGCTGGGCGACTGGCCTCAATGCATCAATGCCGCCTCGTCTCGCACGCGTTGGCAACCCTGAAATGTGCTCGCAGGCTCGCAGACTGTCCTTGACGCCCGGCAAGTCTTTTGTTTTTGACATTGAGTGCCGCTTGGGCCACGATTGCAACTATTTCAAGATCTCGCAAATACACAATGCGAATGCTCTAGCCGAGAGTTAGACTGGGCTATACCCTGTAATCACCACACAGCTCTTTCAAGCTTCACACCAAAGAAAATAAGTTCTTTAATAAGTGCGGAATCGAAGTCAAATTAGTATTTCTTACAGATGATGTTTAAATGTGGCGGAGGGGAAGGGAAGCCAAAAAGTAAAGAATCAATATGTATTATTAAACACACCTTTCTATCCAACTTCAATTAGAGGGTATAGTTTGCGCATACTGTTGCATACTTTTCGCGCTGTCTCGGTTGCAGTCTCAGTAGCTTATTGTGTGTATACATATCAATATACTTCGCTTTCTGGTCCATCAGCAGCTGGCCTTATATATTGGTTGTCCCCAACTGCAATTTGCATGCTGATTGCTTTTGCTCTTGCTTTTGGTTTCGCCTTTGCACTTGTCTATGCCGAAGGGATATGCAATAACTTTGATCCTGCAAGAGCAGCACAGAAAACTTTTACCAAGTGCCAAAACCCTCGAAGCAGACAAGTTGCCAACTAAATTGCTTTTGACCCTCGCCCTCATGCAAGCCCCGAACCCCGCCCGACAAAGAATGGCCACGCGCTAAAAGCTTACAAATGTTGTGCAATTTGTTAGCCGTAAAGCTGGCCAAGCATTGAATAACAACAAGTGCCCAAGTTCATGGAATTGGATTACCACCTACGTTTGCAGCTGAGAGCGGGCAAAACTGGGTTTGCAGGGGAGTTGTTTCCTAGGTTTCTCTTCGTAACTGCTTACAGAATACTTACATTGCCGTCTTATGTCGAGTGCGTTGCGTAAAACAAAACATAATGCACATCATCAGCAGCCTTGCCTTTGAAATGTTGCACAAATGCCAACTGTTAGGTAAGTGTAACCGGGCACAAGGTACAGGTAGCTATTTTTATAAAATGTTATCTAATGAGCTTCAAACTATTCTTGAATGGCAATGCCAATTGAATTACTATGGCATGCATTGTTCACTCGGTAAACGATCTACCCCTTTTGTTCTTTTGTGAAATACAAGTAACAGCGCACAAAGGAATTATACAACTTTATATTAACGTTTTCTAGAGGCTCATCCCTTCTTTTATATCAATCCAAATAATTATAATAATAGTACTATCATAGTTTTTGTACTGTTATTGTACCTCACTTCTATTACTATTTCTTTCTACTCCCTATACCTAACTACGTTTACTACTACTACTGCTTTGCTCTTGCTGCTGCTACTATAACTACTGCTACTTTTACTACTACTACTACTACTACTACTATTGCTACTATTAATACCGCTACTACTTTCACTACTTCTGCTACTACTATTCCTACTACTCCTATTACTACTATTAATTATTATTATTATTACTACCAATCCTGTTTTTGTTACTTCATCTTTACATCATTAACTTTATTTTATTTTATTTACTCTACTTCTCCTGTTTCTATTATTACTTCTTCTACTACTAAATCGTCTACTTTTACTACTACTACCCTACTTGAGTTTCAACCTCGTTCTAATTTTACTATTACTACTAATAATATAACATCTTCGGTTACTTCGTTTTGACTATTACTATCTATTACTATCTATCTCTGATAATACCTTTTTTTACATCAACTACTCCTAATACTACTATAATGTTATCTGTTTCTACTTCTAGTCCAAACTCCATATGATTTATTTTTACTACTCTTTCTACCTTTCACTTTACTTTCTGCTACCAAATCTACTACTATTTTTTTTAACTCTTCTACTAGTTTTGCACATTATTCTTCTTTGATATTCTTAATGGAAACGTCATTGTACAGACATCCCCTTTCCTGCGGGATATGCATCCATCAATAAACGAAAGTAGATTGAATCGAGTAATTCATGTGTTGCGCATCTTTTTTGACTACACGCGGCCATTAAATCCTTTCGATGTGCTTTGCACCGTCGCACGCACACACCAAAGCAGCTTGTCCTTAAAAGGAGTACGAAGGAAACATAATCAGTTTGTTGGCTGCATTGTTGTTTGCTTTGGCTTCAGCTTGGGCTTGGGCATGCCTAATAAATTATCCGTACTTTTGGTTTCTGTTGTTGTTGATGTTTCGGTTGTTGCTTCGGTTCGCATCTTTGCCGAGGAAATACACCTCTTAACCAAGTTGCAAACCGGAGTCAAGCCCGGAGCCGAAAGACGCCAGGCTGTGACTGCCAGCAGCAGCAGCAGCAACAGCAACAATAGCAACAACAGCAACAAGGAGCTGCTGACTATAAATCACGAAAATTGTCGCAGCCTGTTGTTTGCGCATGTTGTTGTTTGTTGTCGTTACTGTGAGATGTTGTTATTGTTGTTGCTGCGGTTGCTGCTGTTTGCAGTTCGTTGGGGATTTTTCATTTTATGGCAACTGGCATTGTTGTAACAGTTGTTTGCTGCTGCTGTTGTTGTTGTTGTTGTTGTTGTTGCTTCTGGCCAACGTCCTCCGCAAATCCTGTCATGCAAATTATGTTGAGCCTTTTGTCCAAATGCAATGGCCTGGCACATATTTCTTTTATTGTGCAGCCCTCTACGCTTTATTATATTATTTATTTTTATATACAACCGCCCTCGTTTCTTTGTTTACTTAATATGAGAAAATAAGTATAAAAATATTTACCATCACATTTATTCAGTCCTTCTGCGTAGCAAATGAAGTGTATTTAATCAGTGTTTAAATATTTTGACAATCTTTTATGCTGAGAAAATGTATTTATATATATAAATGTGGATGCCATAAACAAAATATTATAGCTATAAGGTATTTATTCTGCAAATAGGGAATTTTTTAATCAGCCATCATTTATTTATACAAATATATTGTAAAAAATTAATTCCTGTATTCTAAGAGAACACGAAACCTATAAATCAATGTTATAACAGCTCATTGAGTTTTAATACGAATTGGTGACAATTTGGTAAGCTTTTGTGATTCCAGATTAAACGAAAAATGTAGGCGCACTTTGTTGCTAATCAATTCGCAAATTCCAGACTGCTGACAATATATTGAATACAATCCTCAAATACAAAGCACAAACTTAGCAAATGTCACAGCATTTGCATATCGCTTAACTTTTTTGATCTCAAATATTCAATGCACGCACCTTAGCTGTACTTTCTGCAGCATTTAATACTCATTCAATTTCGTAATTGACAACATTAAATGATGTTGATACAATTTATGCAAATCTGTTGTTTTCTTTTATTTACAGAACTTTTGGCAGGCAGCGCAAAAGGAAGCAGCAGAAGACAGGAATCAAAATCAAGCCAATTGAAACTGTAAGTGAAGCATTTTGATAAATCTACATTAAATTGTGCTGTCGGCGGTGTCAGCGACAGCACAACAGAGTCACAGTCAAAGTCCTTGTCAAATGACTTGAAGCATTTCTTGCACGGGGCAAACGGTGCGTATGATTGATATGCGAAATGAAATCGTGCGCGCGCGCGTTTCAGCCTGTGCAAAAGCTGTGGCTATGCCTGTGCAATATAAATTTGACGCTATGGCGTTAAATAGCGCGTAACAAGCCACAAATTTCGCCACGCCCACTGACGCCCCCCAATACCACGGCAACCAGGTGGTTTAAATTGCAGTTCCTGGAATATACACACTTCAATTCCCACACACACACACACACACACACAAATAGTCTACGCTCACGTTAGAGTTATTCGGACTGAGCTACGTATTGTCAGATATTTAATTAACTTATGTACTTGGGCTCTTGTCTCTATTGTTCTGGGCAACCGAAGGACATACACTCAGAGAATCTATGGGAAATGTTCTACCCGAATCAAGCAAAGTCAAAATATCATATTCCGTAAATACAGGAAGAAAATGTCTAATCCTATAAATACAAGGTATAAAATTAGGTGACCTTTATCAAAAAAAAAAAGGAACTAATACCATTCTCTCTAAATATAAAACCAAGAATATCAAGGTTGATTCATGCTTTATTAAAAAATATTTAAGACTGAAATGTTCTTATAAATTTGTACCCAAAAGTGTATACATTTTTTTTACAAACGATTGAGGCCTATTTTTTCTCTGAGTGTAGAGTCAGCGAGCGTCATGTTGCATTCAGTTTTAATTACAACGCCTACGGACAAATGGAATGCCAAACAAAAGTTCTACATTTAACTAAACACGCACAATGCGCCAAGGTTTTACACAGGCTTATCTAAGCGTCTACGGGTATTGATAAGCCCACAGAGGGAAAGAGTGAGAGACAACATAGAAAGAGAGAGAGAGAGAGAGATGTACAAGGACATAGAATTTGTGGTTTTTGAGTTGGCTCGTGCTAAGAGAGCTTGCGGTTTAATTGAAAAGCGATGCAATTGATAATCATCAGCTGGATGAAAGCTCAAATTGGCATAAGAGACAGGCTATTGTGCAATTTTGTAATGCAAATTACGAAATTGTACAATTTTTGAGACTTATCTAAATCCAAGTGCAAAAAAGATTATTTTCTAAGCACCAAAAGTGACAAAAGTACTGGAAATGCGGCAAGGTCAGATGAAAATAATCACAACCTTGTAAAAGGTATTCAAATGTTTGCAGTGAATGAATACAATATTTCTAATGCCAAAACGTATATATTCTTCCTTATTAAATTTATTCAATTCAATAAAAGCAAATACTTTTAAAAATATGTATAGAAAAACATTAATTATTAAATACTGCGTACTTTTGATATGTGGAAATATTCTGCTTATTTTTGCTTGTGTTCAGCCAATTTTATTAGCAACAACAAATTTAAGGTATTTAGTTTAATTTAAATTACCATTAGCGAATAACTAACAACATTTGCGCTCCATTACGCAGCTTATGTTGAATATTTACCTAATTGAATGCCGCGTAACTAATTCAGTGGCGAATGATCAATTGGCTGATGAACAAGTTTGCCAAATGCAGCTGCCACAGTGTGGGAATTGCTGCAACATGCAGCACATATCACGCATACGCCCTGTTGAGCTACAGCAAACTTATAATACGGTTATGTCGCTTTAGGGAAATTGTAGCTGGCAGCTTGCGGCGAGGGGGGAAGACCTGGACTTGCGACACGTGCCAGAGACTTGAATAAGTCAAGGCACCTAAAGGGTGTGTGTGTGTGTGTGTGTGAATTTCGATTGGCAAAGCGAATGAATTATGCAAGTTGCAGGCAGTCGAAAGCGTTTTAGTGCGTCTCTTTGGAATGCGGCATGTGGCATGTAGCATGTGGCTTAAATTGAATTTATGCGCAGGAAACGTTTCCATTTTGTGTTCAAAGCGACAGAGGAAGAAGATGATGACGACGACGACTCGACTTTCAATTTATGTGCCACATTCACGAGTCAAGTTGCAGCTGCCTGAATTCCGCGCCTTTTTCATTCTCTGTCTCATTCGCTCAGCTCTAATTGTGAAACGCCGCTGGCGGTTTTAATATTTAATATACATATATATATATATACATATATATATATATATATATATAATTGTGTGTTTGGCAATGCCGCATCCTCATATCTATATACGCTGGCCTGGTCCTGTCAAATGGCCACGGGCTGATAAAATGGCGGCCGTGCCAACTCATTTGACGCGCGACCGGGCAAAACGTGGCCCATTTCCGCAAATGTCTTTTTGCCAAGCCGAGCGAAACGTGAGAAATAAATTTTAAACGCAAAGACAGTCAGGCTCATAGAAATGTGCGGCGTATATGTGTAATATACCCCGTAACTGAAAGATTAGCTGGCTGGAAGACTGAAATTTCTATCTGATTGAGGATGTGTACTTTGCGACATAGTAATTCATTTTCTTAAATTGAATGAAACTAAAAAGTAAATAATAATGCAAAAAAAGTAGGAATTGAAGTAGACTCGAACCAGCAATTATTGGCTTATTAGACGTTTTTCTACTAAAGTGCGCGTGCTGCTTGGAAATTTCAAACGTTTACGAATTAAATGATACCTCTTTTGAATGCATAAAAATAAACCAAATCGGCAGATATGTTCAGCACATTGTAAATTAAAATACAGGGCATTTCTCAAGTGGTGCATTGGAATTTACCTTATTGTAACTTGTTGAATTTGCCTGAGCTGCGCTCAAGGTAAAACGTGCGAAGGACATGGACTTGGACACGGACACGGACACGGACACACGAGACTCCGCCGACGACAACACTGCATAAAAATCCATGACAAAATGTTACAGATTGGCCAGCGCCAAGGCATCTAGAAGCAGGACCATACCCGTATCCATTGCCGGAGCCTTAGCTTTAGCCGGAGCCGAACTAAGGCCGGACGGGCCTGTTAAACGAGCCCCGGGCAAAGCTCACCAAGAGAGCTAACGAGCAAGAGAGAAGGAGATGTGTTTTGTAAAAGAGCGAGAGATGAAGCCAGGCACGCCTGCATATTTAATCCTGTTGATTTTTATTTGTTTCCGTGTTGCTGCTGAGGCTGCTGCTACTGCTCCAGCTACGGCTACTGTTACGCCAACGTGTTGTACTATTTTTATGGCTTTTTATCTGCCTGATGATTTTGCATGCTCTTTGTTGGCAAACAGCAGCGCATCACATTCCCAACCGAGCACCACTCACCTCCCCTACACACACTGCGGATATATGGTAAAGTTTTACATATTTCGCTGCGCTGCGAAGGACGTCGTGTTAGCTACCTGATTACTATACAGTGAAAGCTCTCTTGAGCGATAGTCGATTGAGATGTCGAAGAGATATCAAGAGTACGGGGAAAATACGACAAATTTCATTCGTCGTTAACAATGTTGTAATTTTATTTAGAATTTATATTTTCTTTCAAGTTAATGGATAATCCTTGTAAGGTCTGGAAAAATTAGCCTCATGCAATATTTATTTGCCCAATGAAACTGTCCATTAATGGAACTTTCACTGTACATATATCTTTTTTGGGGCCGCCTGTTGCCAGTGCCCATAATTCTGTGCATTCTCACGCCTCTCCAGTGTCATCTAGAACATATAAATAGGTTGCACAGCTGCTTACCATGTATTTTGGCTATTTTATTCAGAGAGAATAGAGGAGAACGAAAGAGAGAAAAAAGGTAGCAACTGTGACAAGGCTGACAAGGCTTACTCAGGCTGCATTGCATCTGCCCAATGGCTTGGTTGGCTTGAAGGTCGCTGGTCATTGTAAATTTATATGATTTTCCAAATAGACCAAATAGGCGACAGATGACATTTACAATTAGAGAGTACTTAACGATAACAACTATGATTTTTATAAATAAACCAAGTTAAGACCTTGAGATTCGATATATGTTCAACTCAAGCGCTACGTATTTAATATACAAAAGAACAAGAGAAGCGTCAGTTAATTAAAAATATGGGAGCTAACAAAAGCAGGTTTTTAATTTATTGAAAATAACGCATTACATGTTTACAAATTTTTTAACACAAAATTCTCGTATTAACTGGAATAAAGCTTGTTTAAGTTATGAATTATGTCGTTTCAATAACTTTATATTTTTTACAAGCAATAATAAAATAATAATCAATAATATAATAAACAATCACTACGTGACGCATTTTGCATTGTTAATTAACATGAGACTTGATTAATTTTTTATTATGATAGTATTCATTTTATTTTTATTAACGCAAATATAACTTGGATTCTTACAGTATAGTTTGTAGCAATACATAAATGCTGTATTCATATGAACATAATACAAAATGTATAATGCAAGAAAGTTTATAAGCTTAGAGAAATAGTTGGCTCAGATTATTTTTTGGCAACATTTTCACTATGCAACAATTGCGAAAATGCAAATCATTGCGAGTGAATAAAATATATCAAGTGAACAGATTTTTTCTGGGATGACATCAGAACGCACCGTGCTCGGAACGCTTGTTAAGCTGCGCAAGGTCGAGTTGAAATAAATACAAATAAATAAAACTGGCAACATTCACACAATTTTAATTTCAATGCCGACATAAAGCAGAGCTGTACTTAATAAATCAACTCCCCCTCCATCGGGCAGCTCGAAAACTGGCACAACAATTTGCGCGAGGGCTCATTAAAAACCAAATACCGTAAGCCAAAAACACAGCGTCAAACAAGCGTATGCTGCATCTAACAGAAGCGTGGGAATTGTAGGTGCGCGACGGGGCGGCGGGGTGGAGGGGCCAAGAGGTGGGCCCAAGTTGGCAGCCAGAATGTGGAAAACCAAAACAGTGGGCTAAGCGCGTCTAATTGATGCGTGTGGAACGCGCACGTTCCTCAACTAACTAACCCACCGACCAATCAATCAATCAGTCAATCAATCAATC